TGCATGGTTATTCGCAACCGTCGGGCCCCGACGCGCTATCGGTTCTTCGTGCACAGTTTGCAGGTAGGGCTTGAAAATTTTACGACCCGATTGTGCCCGAAAAAGAAACGTTTTGTGCCGTTCCTCTTGGTTCCAGGTCGACGTCACTCGACCGTTTTTACCGTGCTCGCTCTCCTAAAGGTATTAAGCCGAAAACGAAGCATCTAAGTACATTTTATTTCCTGAACAAAGAGACCAACGACTCGCCGATAATCCTTCGCGTGGGTGCATTGTGTACCCCTCGTTGATTATCTTCGGGTTCGCTCGTGACGCTGGAACTGACTGATCGAAAGCAAAATATTAGGGATAATTGGCCAAAACAGGAGGATTAGGATTTATTTTTTTTTCTTTTTAAGTGAAATAGCTGGTCTTGCAGAGCAATTAATATTCGTGGACGCTGTAGAAGTAACCCTCCAGAAACATTCCAGACACATCTGCCTTTAATTAATGCTAAGCTTCTTGATTTCATCGAAATTCTTCCATTTGATACAATTCAATAAAACAGAGAATATCTACTTTTTCAGCGATACCAAACGGCTGATAAATATTTCTTAAATAAATATTTCTTATGTAGGAATTAAAATGGCGTTGTTCTTGTTTCCAACTCTTCCATCATAAAACGCGTCGTTATAGCGAGACGCAGGTCATGATTGTTGAAAGACACGTCTATGCAAACAAGGAAACGTTTCTGTCAGATTTTTCCCCGGGTCTCTGTACAATAAATTTCCCTCGCGGTTAAAAGAAAATTCATTCAGCAAAGGGTTAACAACCTTGGCCATCGGAGACAAGAAATGCGATCGTCCCAGGCGATGCAACGTCTCCCAAGCTCGATTCGATCTAAACCTCGCAATAAGACTGTCCCCTCTGATTTATATCGACGTTTTATGCTTCGAATCTGATCGTAAACGGAGGGAACGAACCACGATATCGGTGGATCGTTTTTAAGCCACGAGAGAGCTACGGTTATTGGAGGCTCCGCCATTTCGCTCCGCCTATGAGAACGCAGACGTTGAAAGCATCTTTTGATCCTTTTTGTAAGCGTACCAGTGCAAAGGCACGGGAATTTCCGTGATGGGCAGTCCTAAGCCGAAGGCATACCCAGGAACAACCGGTTCGACCACTCTCAAACGAAGCAGACTTGGCTTCGGAGGATCGAACGCGATGGATCCAAAGATGGTAGCTGAATCTTGTACAGTTCACGAAATACTGACAATTGTTCTTATTACTCGTAGGAAGCAGCTCTTGATAATACATTTATACTATTAAACAGTCTTATACTCGATACTTTCTCTGCAGTTTATGTTTCTCATAAAATATAGTCGTTGTAATAATCTAGCTATTCTGTAACAACTATCTACATACGTTGTGCAGCTGTTTTTGTTACTTATCCTATAGTATTGCGCCTACCATACTAGTCACGCTTTATTGATAATTTTCTAAAAAAATACATGATTAGCATTTGCGGTATTTATAATCCTACAACTTCAAAGAAGAACCCGCTTTTGTAAAGCAGTGTGCTGGTGCCATCTAACGTCAAAAGTGGAAACAATTTCTGTACCACTATACCGACCATAGATATAGAAATAGTTTAGTCTATTTGCCGCTAGATGACTATTATTTATCTCCATGACAACAATGCAAACCAGACAATCTGTTAACAATATAAAACTATTTTTACTCGAGAAAACTACACGAAATTCTTTTATAAACTTTAAACAGAACGTCACTCGGAGTCATCGTATTAATTTACGTAGAGCCAGCCCTTATCTAAAAATACCGAGACAAGAGTTTCTCCTCTGTAAAAACTACTCCGTGCCCTTACTGATAACACATCGTTAGATGACGCTTCGAGTATATTATCGTTTAATTGAGATTATAGCGCGACAGGCATTAATAAACATAGCTCAGAAATGTTATTTCTTGAATGTATCGTAGGTTTTTCGTAACTGTTGATAAACGAAACGTCCAGTGTCAAATTTCTATCGACGCATCTCTGAGATCGACTCCGTTTTCACGTTACGTTAATGTACGTTGAATCGAATGATCCGTTGACGAAATAGCTTCAAGCATTTTAATTTCAGACAGTAACAAGGGGCATGCAGTTTCGTGATAAATACGAATCAAGGGAAATCCCGTGTCTCGTTAAGAATGCAGAAGGAAGTAAACGAAATAGTTGCAAAATCATTGCAGAAGGCTTATGATCATGACAGAACTGGAAACGTAGGAAAGGCATACGCGTATTATACGGTCGTAGCAGAGTTATGTCCAGCGAGAAGGCCAGAAATCGAAGAAGCTTTTGTTGACGTACTTTGTACGTTTGTTCTTTCGATATTTTATAATTCTCCGATTCCCTATGCAAATGTTTAAAACTACCTGTTTCTTAGGTCAATGGGGAATGCAGCTTGCATGCCAAGATAGATTTTCCGATGTTGTTTTATGTTATACGCGTTCCTTAGACATTTATCCAAACAATCCTCGTATGTTAAATAATTTTGCTGCTCATCTTTTAAGGTAATTTGAATTCATCGTTTAGATAAAATTACAACTAGTTAATTTAAAAGTGATTTTTTAACATGACAGATATCATGACCGCTAAAATTCCATATAATGAGGATAAAAAATATGTTGTTAAAGGAATAATGATCCGATAAAGGCAATAGAATATTTAAAACGAGCCCTGAGAGTGAATCCCAATTTTCTGCCAGCAGAAAGAAACTTACAAAATGCGTTTAGTATGGCTGTAGATAGGTGGCACTTCCCAATGTTAAATGACAAACAACGGAATAATGCATTCGAGAATGCCATACGGAGGAGAATTTCTCAAGGATACGACACTGTATTAGACATAGGAACTGGTACGGGATTATTAAGTTTGTATGCGCAGAATGCAGGAGCTAAGAAAATTTATGCATGCGAATGTTCAACTATAATGATTAAAATTGCTGAGAAAGTATTTGAAACTAACAATGCTAAAGGCATAATATTGCTTCCCAAGTTTTCTATAGATCTTACCATACCTACAGACATTACAGAAAGGTCTGTGTTCCAATCAATCAATTTTATTTCAAGTATGAAAATATTTGATTTTTATTAAAAAATACGTATATTTTCCAGAGTGAAATTAGTCGTTACGGAAACTTTTGATGCTGGGCTATTTGGAGAACATGTGGTACCATCCATGATAAGCGTTCATAAAAATATTTTGGATAGAAATGGTACAGTGGTACCTATGAGCGCGACGCTTTATGTAGCGGCGGTCGAGTGTGAATACATAAGATATAGATCATCTGTAGTTTTTGAGAAAGTTAAAAAATTCTGTCCTCTAAATTTTGATAATATATCTGTATTATTAGATGACGAATATTACGATACGGAAAATTTAAAAAATGTGAAAATTACGTACATAACGGAACCTAGAGTTCTTTTCACTGTCAATTTTAACGACTTACTGGATTTGCAACAATTTAATGTAGATGGGGTAAAAAATATGATAAATGTAAAATGTAGACACAACGGTACTATAGATGGTTTAGTTACTTGGTTTAAATTGAATCTCGATGAAGAAATAACTATAGATACCTCTGAAAGAAAGTCTTGTTGGCAAACTGCTATTTTCCCGGCACTACCAAAATTATTCATGCAAGGGGACACGATAAGAATTAAAGGAGAAATATTAAAAAGAAAATTAAAATGTTCTTACTCGTCTAACGATGCCGAATTTAACGATTACGATAATCGAACATTTTTATATCGCGTACCAAAAGAAGTTATAACATTTCTAAATGACTTTGAATACATAAAGTTACTTACAGAAGTTAGTAAATCACAAGTTAACAAAGAAATAAGTTGCATTTTGGATACTTCTCCTTTTCCGATTTATGGATTAATGCTATTAAAGGAGAATAAATATAGTCAAATTTTATATTACAAAACCGACAACACAGTGTTACGTCTTTTCATACAACAAATAGCGGAACAAAACGGATTTAAACATAAACTATGTATCGTGTCGAAGTATAACCATATTAAGGTTTCCTTAGACACTATATTTGTGCATGATTTTGATATTAAAGGGGAAATGAAAGATGACGGTCAAGAACATAATTACGAATTTTTTAGGTAAAAATATTTAATTTGAACTCAGCCTATAGTCGTTTTAACCAAGTTTTACGAATCTTATAATACATTTTGCAGATGTTTACTTAAACCAAATGGCATCTTATTACCTGAACAAATATTCCTTATAGGTCAACTCGTATATTCCGAAGATTTGCCAAATATGGTTTATGTTAAAGATGAAAATTTACAAGGAACGTCCGTTCTTGTATTTAACACATCGAGTTCTGAAAAGGTGTACTTATACGAGCGTGCAGTTAAATAAATTTAATTAACATCGTATATTACAAAGTTAAAAGTAGGGGAAATAATAAGCAATTTTTATCTTTCTTTTGCAGAAACCTGACGATTATGAAAATGTACAAAATACTTTTAGTAATATGAATTCTTATGAAATCGCGCAACATATTAACGAATTTAAGGTAATCTAATAAGTATCGTAATAGCAGAGACACTTTGCGAATTTCTGTGACATTATTTATCATATTACAGATAAACCAAATTTTTGACTTAAATTCAAGTTTATATCTACACGAACCATTATCCGACGAAGTAATAGTAATGGAGATGAAAGAAAGCGAAGTTGCCGAACGTGTAGTGAACTTCGGAAGAATAAATGCCGTCGATAATAAACCATTACCAAATACCTTGATTTGTTGGTACAAAATCAGATTAACATTGAATCTTAATTATGATACAAGAAGAAATGGATCGTTTATGAATCATACTGCGATACTACTGGAAGATGAATTGAAAAATATTATTCTACAAGGGAACGAAGTGTGCATAAAAGTTCAGCAGGCTGAAGGTGTAGTACGTATAAAAGTCAAATGATGCCAACAATATCTCAATAACTCATATAATTATTTATAAACAAATTTAAATGTACATTTGTTTTGCACATTTTAATACCACTATGTATATAAAAATAGAAATACTATAAACAATAACTTTGATCAGTAAAATTATTTTGTAACAATAAAATTTTATAATTTACTTTTTGTGTCATTATCTAAAAACTTACATATGATTGGTGCTACCCTTTCAGGATAGTTGTTATGTACATCATGATTTCCTTCTACAGAAACTACATGATAAGGAATGTTATCACGAACTAATGTTCCTAATTCCCTTGCCATAATAGCTAATGGTTTACGTCGCGAAGAGCTCTCTGCTAGAATTATTAACATTGGAGTTTGGAATCTTAACATAAACTCTCTATGTTGATCTATAGTAAATATTGGTTTTGGGTAGTTTCTTAATCTAGGATCACGATTGTACTTATACAAGTTGTCAATTTTGGTGACTGCACGTTTAAATGTAGCTTCTGCAGCATCTGAGTTTAGTGCCTCCCATCTTTTAAACTTCAATGCGTACATCACTTCATCTTTAGTATTGAGTCTTCCTGTGTCTTTACTATAAGAATCCAGATTATATAGTTCCTGAGTATAAGAGACTAGGTCTTTAATTGGTGGGGACATAACACCATCTATGGCTATGATTTTGTCAAGTCTTCCAGGATATAAAATACTGAAACTCACTCCTATTTGAACACCAAAACTATGTGCTAAGTAGATACAAGTTTTCCATTTTAAAGCATTAAGAACTAGCAATATTGTGTACACATAGTCAAAAAATTGTAATGGTACTCCAGTAGGAAATGGTGATGAAAATCCATGTCCTGGTAAATCAATGCTTACATAATGGTATTTTCTTGGAAGAAGATCAATCAATCGATCGAACGATCCAGCGTTATCTAAAATACCGTGCACCACTAGGATGTTGTTTTCTCCTGGAGGTCCATAAAATTTTGCTGCAACATGACCCCATGGCATGGGTATCTTTTTTTCTATTGGCTGCCATTTAGAATCACTCATATTTATGTGACAGTCACTTCACTAATATATCTATTCGTTTCCTGTAAAAACAATACTATTACTAAACTGTTGATATAAAAAAAATCGACAATAAGTTTCAAGAGACAGTACTGTTTCAAGAGTCAGAGCTGCAATATTAACAATAAGATATACTTGCAGGAAAATTCAAAGTTCAATGTTATTCTTGCAAGTCATTTTAGATGTCTGTTTATATAAGATCGTAATGATTAATAATATGCTGAATCTTTGTTTTGAAACGGGAGGGGACAGGAGTCAACAGGAGGTGAAACATGATCAAACATATCTGCTTCCTCTTATTCCTAATTTACATTTTATCAAGATCTCTACAGCTATACTTAGTATCGAAACGATAGCCACCTATCGGCGAACTGATCGAATAATTTGTACTTCAGACGTGTAACTCTAATTTTGATAAGATTTGTCTAACTTATATCTTATCTATGATTGTAATCCTGTCCAGAGCGTCATGTCGTCACAGCAAACCAATGAAAATTCGCTCACGTGACGATTTGTTTGTAATTACATCCCTCCCATTTTTATTTCGAACGAATAACAGTCGTTTTGAATTACATTTTGAAAAGAATCATTAACATTCTATCAAGACGTACTCAGTATTCGTTAACGCTGTTTCAAGTAATTGAAACTACCTGAACGGCATTGGTTTATGTTGTCCTTTAATTTTCTACATTCCAAACAATGTAAACAATTTCTGAAATATAAAATGTTTAACAGTCCCTACAGTATTTTTACGATATATCATTTCCATATGAAATATTAATGAACATGAAATGAAATTTTGTTTATACCGCCGAATTTGTGTAATGATAATGGTACATATCAGATGGCGTAGCAAATTGTACACCACTTGAATATAGTTTCCAGGCCCTGCTTTGTCATGGACATGCAAGCTTCTAATGGTTCGTACTTGTTTTCCTACGCTATGTGATATCTTCGCGCGTTAAATTACATCGTAATTTATGATCCTGGAATTGAATACTTCACACAGGATATGGTGTATCTTCAAAGAGAAGCATCTTCTCTTGAAATATGTTTCCCAGTGGAAAAGGTTGAATAAATGTTGATTTTCAAAGCTTAGGCGTCGCTTTGAGAAATAAATCATATTGAGTTTTTTTTAGATTTTACACAATACAGAATAGCATTCGAACACAATAGAATCGATCTCAAAAATTGTTTGTGTCTTGTACGTCGTGATATGTACATTTCGTAAAATAGAATTTTGTGCATGTACGAGAAGTACTCTTTTCTGAATACCAAGTGTCTTAATTTTATTACAGTTAATTTATTTATATAAAATTAATCCGTTCTGTGACATGAATTTATTATTTGAATTGGAACGTTTCATTGTTTGAAGCTACAGAATATATACATAATCTGTCTAAAAGTAATATTTCAATCATTATGTGAATATAGGAATGGATATTTGTATGAATTCAGTGTATGCCTCCATCCCTGGATTACCGGAACTAGGGATGGTATGGATGGGAGATATGATGGTACATGGAGAACCTACTCATGAACTTATGTTGGATCCTCGTCAAGCGGAAAGTCCATTTTTCTCTCATGGTTCGAATCCATATGAAGATATTAGGAACCATCAAATAGCACCTACAACTATGGTGCGGTATCTACCACCTCAATATCCTAACGAGTGTTCAGAACCTGATGAAGCTATGGAAGCTGCTGATGCCCAAGAAATAAGAGTTAGTTGAATGTTACTTAAATTTTATTTATTTTTAATATAAGTTTACATAAGAGGTTTTATTACTTTTTAGGAGTATGATTCACAATCTGAAAGGCCAGAAATGACAGAGTATTTAACATTAGAAGATTACATGGGTGACGAAGAAAGGGAGCAAGTTGTAAACAATGCAGCAACACAAACTACTCAGGACAATCGCAATAGGAAAATAAAACCTATAAAACATCCTGGACTTGTTTTAAAGACACCAATCGCGTATCAGCCACATACAGATTTAAACTTTATTCCCATTCGTAAGGATGGTATAGGTAGGATATAGACCTCGAAATACATTGAGAATACAATTATAAACGGTATATAAATTTATACTTACTTACAAGGCATTTTTATTTTTAACAGCTGTTTGTGAAAAATGTGGTGCTATTGGAGTGAAACATGCATTTTACACAAAGGAACGCAGATTTTGTAGTAGAGCGTGTGCGCGATCTTCGGAACATACCGCCCCTACTGCAGACTCTACATACAGTCCATCTCATTCTGTAGAAACACTTCCATCTGTTAATCCAACTTCTCCAAATGAATCGAAAGTCTTAGTGAAAGAAGAAACGGATATAAAAAAGGAACCTGCTGAATCAGAAAAAGAAAAAGAAAAAGTTATATCCGAACCAGTGATGCCAGAGGACCTACCTGTAAGAAGAAAGAGAACAGCTGAAATGGCGGGTTCTTATGATTGGACTCCACAGCTAGTGGAACCTGGATTTTGTGCTGCCCCAGTGTCTTGCTTCAAACACGTTAGTTTTAAAAATATTATACGATTCGCGTTTTAACTCGTAATATATCGGTTATCATACCGATAATCTTTTCCAATTTTTATTCTTCAGGCACCTATATCGGAAATATGGGATAATATAACAGTTGGTATGAAAGTTGAAGTAGAGAATACGGATTGCGACGAAGTATGCGAAGCTTTTCCAGATTCTTTTTGGGTTGCCACCGTGTTACGCATATCCGGGTATAGAGCTTTATTGAGGTACGAAGGTTTCGGACTTAACGCCGATAAAGATTTTTGGGTATCTCTGTGCTCCAATGATATACACCCTGTAGGCTGGTGTGCAACTATTGGTAAACCACTCATTCCACCTAACAGTAAGTAAATGTTATTAGTGAATTAACCCCTTGATGCCCACATTCGTACCGCGTACCTCCGCAGCCTCTGGCCGTTAAGCGGTTAAAGAAACATTTATATTCATTTAACTTGTTACAGCTATCGCTAACAAATACAAAGACTGGAAGGATTTTTTAATGAGACGATTAACAGGTGCAAGGACACTGCCAACTAATTTTTATAATAAAGTTAACGATAGTATGAAGTCCCGTTTCAGATGTGGACTTCATTTGGAAGTAGTAGATAAAAATAGAATCTCGCAAGTAAAAGTAGCAACGATACAAAAAATTGTTGGCAAACGTTTACATGTAAGATACTATGACTCGCCGCCCGAAGACAATGGTTTTTGGTGTCACGAAGATTCCCCTCTTATACATCCTGTTGGTTGGGCCAAGAGGGTAGGCCAGACGTTGGATGCATATCCCGAATATTTGGAACGCGTGTCGAAATCAAAATTATGCGAAGATGATTCAACAGAAGATCTTTTTTATGTGCCAAAGAACCATCACTTGCACCTTGGTTACACATTTCGAGAAGGAATGAAGATAGAAGCCATTGATCCACTTAATCTTTCTGCTATATGCGCGGCAACGGTTATGCAAGTTTTGAAAGAGGATTACATAATGATTCGTATAGATAGTTATGATGAGGATGCAAGTGGTGCTGATTGGTTTTGCTATCATTCGTGTTCACCTTGTATTTTTCCAATCGGATTTTGTTCTCAACACGGTTTACCGCTTACGCCGCCAAAAGGATACGATCCTACTACATTTACATGGGACACATATTTAATGGAGACAAATACTATACCTGCACCTGTGCAATTGTTTAACAGGGTACTTATACAAATTTCTTACATAATCTAACACTGTCGGCGGTGTGTGAATTGAAATAAATAATACATTATATCGTAGGAGATTCCTCAGCATGGGTTTATCGAAGGAATGAGGCTTGAAGCTGCAGATTTAATGGATCCTAGATTAGTTTGTGTTGCTACTATTACCAGGGTGATTGGGAGGTTATTGAGAGTACACTTTGATGGCTGGGAAGATGAATACGATCAGTGGTTAGATTGTCAGAGTCCAGATATTTATCCAGTTGGGTGGTGTGATTTGGTTGATCACAAATTAGAAGGGCCCCGTGTACTCAATAAAAACACTAGTCCTACTGGTAAATATTTAAAAACATATTTTTGTATAGCCGAATGTGTTTTTCGGTATGAATTATATATTACGGTACATTTATTACATTTCTTAGTAAAATCACCAAGAGGCCTTAAACGTAAAGCTAAGAGAAAACTGAAGAAAAGCAGCAAAGTATCTTGCGCGAAAAACATTCTACCTCGGCACAGTGAACGTATTAGCATGGCTCGTGAGCGTGAACGAGAAGTAGAGCCTGCTCAAGGGATAAAAATTGAGAGAGAACGCGACGTGGAAAGTTTGCCGGAACAAAGAAATAGGGAACCAGAACCAGCAGAAGAGCCAGCTGGACCTGATCAAACTTTACCTAGTCCTACTACAGGTCAAGGTCAAGCGTTAAATGATACTCAAAGTGAAATTCAAAGCCCTCCACCGCCGAAAGAAAGAACTGCGACATCGTATATTAATGTAAGTTGTTATTTATTGTTTTAAATAATTTAATGTTTTACGTTTATATGAATGTACTTGTGTTGTTTAGGTGACGTCAGCCACTAATAAATACATCCCAAGGCTAGCAGATGGTGTACAAAAAAGTTCGGAATCTGGTGATTTAGTGCCATCTGAATGGAATGTGTTTGATGTTGCACAATTTCTTCGTGTTAATGATTGTGCAACGTATTGCGATAATTTTAGTAAACGTAAAATAGACGGAAAAACTTTGTTGACACTCACTAAGGACCAAATAATAGACCTGACAGGTTTTAAAGTTGGGCCTTCTTTAAAAATATACGATCTTATTCAACAATTGAAAATCAAAGTGAATCCAGCTCAGGAAAGGTTGAAATTAGGATTGAAAAAGTTATTATAACAGAGCTAGTATGTAGTTAATAACGTGAATAAGTTCCATCATTTCATAAAAATAAACATGGATTTACAGGTAAGGTATGCAAATTCAAGTAATTAAAAATTTATATTTGGAATAGTTCACATTTGTTGTCGGTTATATGCTTTGTTCGTATACTAATGCATACACATATCTATATGTATATGTATACATATATAGATACATATAAAAAAAATGATCAAGATTAAAATTTTGAGATCCAAATTAATTTTTAAATCACAGATTTTCTCTAACATTAACAATTCAAAAGGAAACAAATCAAAATTGATTCCACAGTATTATTTATGTTTAAATATAACAATCAAGAATATTAATAGATCTTTATATAGACAGCTATTATTTGTAAATCCATGCTTTCATGTTGCACTAAATTGTTTGCAGATGCATGAACCACACTTAAATAATTACTCATTGTATATTAAACAATTTTTTTTAAGAAACAAAAATTAAAAACGTAATTTAAAGAAAAAATGTTAGCGGAGTAAATTAACAAAGATGTATTAAAATAGAAAGTAAAAATATAGTAAAATGAATAATAAAGTACAAACTAATCCTTGGGCATCAATTCATCACAGCTCTAATCACATTTGCCTTAATGATACAATTCGCGTTAATAAAATAGTTTTACGTATTTTAATAAATTTGTTAATTTACTCTCTATCATAATCAACAAGTACACATTTGTACATAATTAAAGAGAACGAAACGGTCAACTTTTAACCTTGTAAATATAGCATTTAGCACAATATTAGGTTTAGCTAATTTTTTTGAAAGAATGAAGTGAACATAACCACACTGTACAAGAAAGGTAACTGTTAGCAAGTGGTTGATGCATTTGTATCTCAGAAATTGTATCCATGTCTAGCTTTATAATCATTACAGTAAATCAAACAAGTCGAGACTCATCTTTGTCTTAGACTCATTAAATACTATTTTTAGTATGATAGAGTAACACGATTACTCGTTTTATTTATTCAACATTTTGGAATCTCAGTAGGTACGATTTAATTCGATACCTAACCTTTTCTAGCACTTAGTTGATAAAAAGTTAAACACGAAAGTTTTCATTAGTCAACTATACTTTTATTTCATCAATCATACCAGAATGTTAATTGCATTTTGGTAATATGTATTCTTTTGTTATTTTAACGTGCGGTATTGTATTAACAGTGTAAGAAATTTATTAATTCGGAGAATATTGTATATCTATGCCTGCTGATCAAAGAAAAGGTAGTAACGTTTTCAATCCATTAGTGTGTATAAATTGGGAGGCATTATAAAAGAGTATTACAGTTATAAACTTGAAAAGTTTGCGTTTGTGTCAATGACAACATTGAAAACGTAGATTATAACAAGTTATTTGAACGAGTTTTAGATTTAAAACAAAATAACGTTCAATTCAACATAGTACGAAATTCAGTATAAAAGTTAAAATCCTTTTACTACGGAACAATACGTAATGTTAAACTATGCTTATTTAAAACAATTTTTTCTATTGAAAATCCTCTGTTTCATAACGATTATATAACATGTGCACACGCATAACTATGACAAAAGCTGAACTATATTTATATTTACGTTAAATTTCACATAATTTACTGAATAACTTCAATTTGAATTGGAACAATTCCACGTATGCAATTCGTTAAAAAAGAAATACTATAATCAGACAAATAATACCGATTACGTAGCTCTTTTACACGAAGGTATGAACACAAATTTTTCACATTCATACACTTACACACTTATCGTTTTTTAATCACATTAAATTTCACATTTAAAACTCCAAAGTAGAAAAATGAGATATGTATTTTGTAATCGAATCGATCGTTTAATTTTAAAAATCATTTTCCGGATTAATGAATAAGAAACAAAAAATTAATGTTATTTCGATTTATTTAACTGCATTTAAGGTGTATTCATAGCTATGCCTTCTACGCGAGAGCTATAGAACCCTCATTTTTTCATTTACGATGTAATATATTATTAACGTATACAAACATTACGAACAATAACTATGAATACAGTCTCCAAATATTATTTTTAGCCTGTCATTTTATCGAAATAAACAAAACATCGCGTCATAGATAATCGACAACAGTATTTATCGATAACGCTAAGTTTAGTAGAAGAGATCATCTCTATTTCCTCTCTTTTTATTTGTAAGTTCGTCCTTCGTATATTTCTTTTATAAAAGTAAAGAGAGAATGGTTGAAAATAAATGTTTTTCACATATATATATTGTAAACAAATTTGAAAATAATGATGGAAGTACATTGTTTATATTAAATTGTTTGAGTGTTTGTATTTCGGTTGCCGTTCCGCTACTCTTAACAAGTTCAACGATTGGCCGTTAGATGGCATCTGCTGTAAGATTTTCGAAACTATTCGAACATGAAAATAATTATTCGAAGACTGTTCGATCGAAAAGTTCAACTTAAAATCTGTGTTAACCAACAAAAAAAGATAGAAAAATTTTGTTATTTTCCACGATTATTTAAAAATTTCATGTATTTGTTCACGAAGCTTTGAGTGTTTGAACGACTACGCGATTTCTGAACGAAAATAATACATTAAGATCGTTTAGAATCGCATGCTTTTATACGCTTTACATAGTCAACTATTGAAAAAAAAAAACCAAGTACTACTCGAGTGAAACCGACGAACGATTTAGTATATTTCGAGATAAACTACTCGTACTTCTTTATTTAGTTGTAGATACGCGCATCTTTCCATTATTCATCTTCGCGGAGCATCTGTATAGGAATACGCGCGACAGGTCCACTTAGGATGCATCATACCGTGCGGGGAAGCAACGAATTTTTATTGTCAACTATCGTATCGTATAACGTTGCACGGCGAGCTCCACGAAGGACCAGGATATAGAAGATTGTGCATGTGAAGAGCGTGGTCGTGGACATACAAATGGTTCCAACGTTGTGTACGTTGGGTTTAGCTCGGCGCAGGTGGGGGAAGTGGGGGAGACTGGCGTATTCTATGGGCGGGGCTTTTGCCAGCTGGCAGATGTTTCCCGCGCGGCCGCGCCATTCCTCTAGCGTAAACCTACGCGACGCGAAAGTAGTTCCTTCGTAACGCGTTAAATATTTCTAACAATAGCTCGCCGAGGATACGGCTAGGTGTACCCAGTTATCTGCCACGAACCGAGTGGACGACCAGCGTTCAACTACCTGCAGGAAACCGTGGAAACTCTGCGTGAAACCGAAGATGAGCTATTGCGGGATTGGTCCAAAGAGAGTCGTCGACCAGGGCAGAGCACGCCGTACCGTTCACCCCAACCGTGTCCACTGAACTTTCCGCGAGTGCAAATAGTTGTCGAGTTGTGAATCTTCGCGCACGTAGTGTCTGTGTGCTCGGTGACGATACCGTACCTCTTCTCGACACAGAGGATTAACCAATACATTCATTCGTGGTCTATCGTTGCCAAAGTTCGCGAGTGTCGATCAGAGATGGGAATAACGAGAATCTAGATGAAGAAAAATATCGAACGAAGAGTTAAAGCTAACCTATGATGCGTTGTTCGCTTCGATGAAAAAGTACAGTGGGAGTCGTAAAGTGTCGATATTATTTCAGTAGGAGAAATAACTGTTCGAGTGAATTTTGCGAACGAATTTCAGTCTATTCGAGTAAAATTCTGGCCGTCTCTGTGCTACTCGAATCGGAGTGTTCCAGGAGGGAACAAGTTTAGCATGTGCCGCCACGTGATCGATTCGACGGAGCATGTACGTGAAACGATTTTTCGCGTCACGACCAAGTTCATCGGACGATTAATGTGATATGTCTAGTTTCAGGCGATCGTGTTTCGTCTAGCAACGAGTTTCACTGGGAAATTCGAGATCGTTGATTCATGCCATCCGCGTGCTCGTGCATCGATTGCAGTCGGTCCGAGTGATCGATATATAGTGCGCCAACGTTGAAGAAAAATCTTGGTGTCGCGCGTATGCGTGGTAAAAATAGATCGTGTCACGAGTGGGACAAATTTTGTTGGAAAAAATTGGAAGCGAGGGGTGCCGACGCGGAGCGAAGGGGCGCCAGAGGAACCATAGGCGGCGACGGCCCTGAAGCCGGCGGCGGAGTGATTCGCGGTTCGCTGTGGGGGCCCTCAGCTGTTTCCCGCCAAAGATCGCCATTACAAAACGCGTTCGGGCGTTGTGTGTGCGCCGCGCGGAGTGGCTGTCCCGTGGACAAATCTCGGTGCGTGCCACCGGCGGTATAAAATATTAATTACGAGTTCCGGTAGAATTGGTGTGTCGTAAGGCCCTGAGGAGGTGCGCGTTTGTTTTTAGGGTGGAGTGTGCGAGGTTAAGCCCCGTCGTCTTTTTCGCTGCCGCCGACGACGGCTGCTGTGGGACGTGGAATCGCGCGGCGGGATTCACAGTGCTACGGACCAACGAGATATGTCAGTGTTTGGTAGTGAGGATCGAATTCTGCTCGAGGAAATCGTCGAATCCGCCGAGGAACAGGAAGTCAATTTGTGCGGGTGAGTTTTCTTTCTATACGTACGTGCGCGATATTCGAACATAGGTTAGAAATTAGCAACAACATAGAATATTCGTACGAGCTTACTCGTGCATGCCACTTGCTTATTATTACCTCTTGGATAAATTGAAATACCTCGTTAATCAGTAAGTTTCCATAGATAAATCCAGAGATATAATTCGAATTCGAATTTTTACTTGGATCAGAGCCGAGTAAAAGCTCGATTACAAGAGTTTTGGCCAACTCTGACCATACGCGTGGAGCCTAGGGAATCCGGTGCGAGTTACATACGCGTTCTGTCGCGTGTACGTCAGCGTAGCGTATAGAACGGAGTGCCATGCCACGTCATTAGTGACTTTAAATATACAGTGTAACGCCTTCCTCGCGAACTCTCGCGAGCGAGATGACACGAATTTATCGCCGGAGGGAAGGCGTGTGTATGTTCTCCTGGTCGAGTCATACCGTTTGCTAGCGTATCGATGCCCCGTTCCCTCATTTCCCCTCGCCTATCCTTGTCAACGATTCCGTTTGCCGTCGTCGACGTCGACGTTTGCCGTGGCATTGGCAAGCCTCGGTAATCGTGGCATGAACAGTAAAACGTGCGCACAATACAAACAAAATCCTAGTAGACTCTCACGATAGCCAGCTGTCGCGAAAGCCGGCCGGCCGGCTCGCTTGGCCGGCCGGCACAATAGCCTTCACTCTTTCGAACATGACGCAATTACGCGATATTCTTTTTCGTTCGACGCACGAATTTCGCCTAGTTACCGTCGTTATCTTCCTTATCGTCGTCGTTCGCTTGATTTTCGAGTCGCCAGGAAAATTCGCACGGCCTGGACGACTTCGATTTGCGCCCACCATGCGTTCACGCCCAAACAAGCATGGCGCAGGGAGTCGAGCGAATATGCCCTTCGAGTAGTAAATAGTAAATAAACGACGTAAACGGGGTTTCCCAATGAAATTTGCACGGTGTACCCACATCGTAATTTGGTGGAATTTTAACGTGCTTGCGCGTACGTGTATTTTTCGTGGTTTCTTCTTACTTAAAAATTTGTTGTTTCGAGCGTGGAAGGATTATTGCACTAATTGCTAAATATTGAGTATTGGGAGGATACGCAGTTCTGCTCTTTTTTCTTTTTTATTTTCGACTTGGTCCATTATCAATTTTCTTTTTGCGACGCAAAACTAAAGATTGGGAAGAAAGAAAATAAAATTACAGAAACGAGTAAGAATAGAGGAAAGTACGTAAAATACGAGATACACGGTATATGTAAGCGAGCAATTTGTTTACTTCTGACTTATGTGCCTTGAGTCATCTTTCGTATGATCACACGTGACGCATACGCACAAAAAATACTAAATTCGTTTGATAAAAGTGTGCGGTAAGTTATATTTATAGGTGATACATGACTCAGAACACATACGAGTCGAAACGCAAATAAGTTTCCTGTTCGACACTGTCGAATTGCCTCTCTCGCGCAAGTTTCTTTACTAACAGTTGTTTCCGTTAACTCGTTATTTTATGTTCTTCTATTTATATTTTTAGCCTCTCCTTATCGATCAGGTCGAAAATAAATTTCAAACTTTATAGTAACTTTACACACGGAAAACTTTTAAATTCGTTACCTGAAAAATAAAACATCTGCTCCATTCCTGTAAATAAAATTGACGTCGAGCTTGTTTCGCCACGGGGTTAGCGTTACTCGGCATATTTTTCTATCGAATAGCAACAAATCCGATCGTGTGGCACTTTTGGTTAAATATATCGCGGCTGGAATAAATCATACCGGTTTTCTGCGAAGCTGCGACGGTAAACGGTCGCCCGAGTGGGCACCCGTGGTCGCGATTAATCGTTTCTCGGAATGTTATCGCGAGTTGTCTAAACAGGTTCGGAATGCATGTACGGTACTCGAGCGTTTGTATCTCTCGACTCTCGTACACTCGTTTCCTCCGTTTCCCTCGGCGACTAGCTCGCGAAGTATCACGGTCACGTTACCGATCGAAATCAGCGAAAAGAAAAAAAAAAAAAAACACCAACTATCGAAATCATATAGATCTTCGAGAGCAAAGTTGTGTACTCCGTTTAGTATGTCCACGCGTAGTTTCTTTCCATCGATTCTCTGTTTTCCTTTTTCGCAGTTGATTCTCAGAATCGGTTTTCTCTCCCCGTTTTTCTCTCCCCGTTTTTCTCTCTCTACCCCTCTCTGTTGGTAGCTTTTGTTTACATTCGTAGCGAACGGTGCGGAGCGAAGCGGTTTTCAGTTCGTCGGGGCGCTTGTTCGCGAACGCGAGCGCAAAAAAAAAGAAAGAAAGAAAAAGGCAAAACAAAAGGACGAGGAAAGCGAGTTCCTTTGTATACGGCCGAGTGACCGACAAGACCGGGGGTATACTATGCGCCGTTACGTAAAGCAACGTTTGTTGCACAATAATGGATTTCTATAAATAACTCGGACGCATGCCGCTTCGGCGCGACTTCTTGTTTACATACGCTCATCACCGCACCATTACGTTCACTTGCATAGAGCTTCGATCCTATCGTCTACGTATGTGTCCCGCGGTCCATGCACCGAGGATAGACGAAATTATGGTCGAATAGTAAGTGACCAAACGGAACACTACCTCGGCGTCTCTCAATCTTCCTTTATTCCGAAAAGCCTCGACAGTGTTTCAATTCAACGTTGGCTAATTAAATTAACACGATCGCTTCATTTTCTTCATCCTCTACTTCGAACTTAGTCGAGAATATTCAACGAATTTTGTTGTTTCCCGAAGTTCACGTGGAAGTTTACCTTTCCTGATCTTCCTACCTAAAATTACCTCTCGTATTCAACGACCGGGTTTCTCGAGTATCACGGCTCATTGTCAATATTATGAACGTGCGCACTTTCTATTGTTGATTCGATTGCTTGACGTACACGCGATAATGCACAGGTAATCAGAAGCGTTACGAGTATGGTGTAAGGAACGCTGAACAGTGCACGCCATATAGCGTTGTGTAGCTTGAATGAAGGGTTCGTTGCGTCGAGAAACAAGGAAGATACATGTGCGAACGATTTTACACGTTACAAAGTTCTTATTGGAGGTATCAAGCGTAGACGATTGCATTTATGCACGCGGCATACCTTGTTCATTGTTTTTTTTTTTTTTTTTCCATTGAGAATCTCGTTTATACAGAATCGAATGAATATGGGAGTTTATAAACACGATGTTGGGCACGAGTTCGTGCATCTTAGACAGGATTTGCTACGTAATCCATATGAATGTATTCGATGTCGCATAGTAACATTAATTATGTTACGTACGAGTTCGTAGTATATAATTTTTGTCCTCAATCAGACTGACACTTTGGCCACAGTTTAAATTTGATGGTTCCTTTATCAGAGCGGCGGGAATTGCGAGAAACACTTTTTACTAGAAGGAACATCTGATACGTGTTTATCCACTCATCACGCGACCCACGGTATCAGCTGATTAAACGCTACGCCATTACGTAATCCGCGCGATTGATACACCGCCGATCGTGATAAATTTTCACCCGTAGCTTATCGGAGCTTTTTTCACGGATTATTTTTTTTTTTTTTTGCACGCTATCTGCCATTTCGCGTCGTGAATTTATAATTGATCATATGACTGCGCAAATATTAGCAACCTAACGAGCGTTACATTCGATTTTGTTATTTAACGCACATCTTATTTCTAGTCTGATCGATCCGAATATCATAACGTCGTCTATTTCGTAACATTCAGACGTTTGTTTCTCGTGATCGTTTCAATTATGTCATTATCTTTTCTTATTTGCGTCGACGCTATCGCTTTCATTATAGGTAATCGTGAATCAGACTCGTCTACGAAGTTATTTCCACGTTTGCGTCTTTGCTGATATATATATATATATTTTTTTTTTTTATTTTAGTCACGAGTTCATATGTCTACAGATTGCGGTTGATCTTGTATACACGTGCGCGTTTCAAAGTTCGACTTTCGATTTTTTTTTAATAAGTGCTCGCGAAATGCTCGTGAAACACAATCAACTCGTAAATTTCCTTCGTTTTTATTCATTGCCAGCCATTGATTACGTTATTTATTTCGCCGGCGAGGAATTCGAGTTACGATTTATCGAATTATTGCGCAACGGAGGCATAACCTTCGCGAATGGAACGAGCCTGTAGGACTCCAAAAAGAGGGTCTCCTTTTCTAAATGGTTTATGTAATATTAACGTCTAAATCGTCGTGGAAATCCACGACCCCCATAGATGTCTTCTTGTTAGTATTAAAAATGCCTGAGGGTCGATAGAGACCCTCAGAAATTTTCCTAAAATCCCTATAACCCCACGTGGCTCTCAAGTTCCTTATCTAAACCACCGTAGAATTTTTTTCCCAGGGGCCTAGTGCAATTTGATTTACAGTGACTTGGAAAGAAACATACGCGGCATCCACTGCGTGGCTTTTCCACGATACGTTACAGATAAAATTACTGTCGCTCGATGCCCTATCGATTTTCTTTCGGTATTTGCGTCAGTTCCCTTTGACGGTGTGCGTGCACTCCGTGCTCTCTCGGTAGTTATTATCATCACATCGTTTATCAAGCGTTGGAGAATAAAACTCGCTCGGCTGATGGTACTTTTTCGTTCGCTGGTTTGCACGACTTAATAAATCGGTCGAGCCAATCCTGACCACGGTCAACGTGGTTGCACCACGTCGCGCGTAGCTTTTTATATATAGACACGCACACCTATGTATAGGAGCAATTTGCAGTGCTACGAGTAGTCAAAGTAGAGAGAGAGAGAGAGAGAGAATCTTGGATTGCTTACTGCACTTGCGTCAAGTTAATCTTCGTCGATAGGTGCACGCGCACTTGATGCAAGCTTTATGTACGTCGCGAGAAATTACGCTCTTTATGTCCTTTCGATCGCGCGTCCAGGTCGCGATTCCAAAATATGCGATGCAAAATAATTTGATGAGTAATATTGAAATAAATTCAGGTTCCAGGCTGGATTTTTG